AACTACAGTTTAGGGCCTTAGATTATGAGGGGCCTCTTAATATTTTTAAATAAGTATATTTCAGTGTTTGAGTAATACACTGGGGGGGGGGGCTATAGGGCCTCAGCATGTCTTTATGCAGCCTGGCCCTGACTGGCCGTAAGAGGGATCAATGGAGAAGGCCCCAGCATGAGACTAGATGACGAAAAGGTGCAGAAAAGGGCAACTGAAATTATTAAGGCAGTGGTGTTGAACTCATTTGGTATGAGGGCCAGATCTGACATAAATGAGACCTTGTTGGGCCGGGCCATGTGTGTCATAAAATGTAATGCCAGGAAGCGGAGATATAAACTTTATAAAGGACACAAACACAAAGGTTTTTTTTTTACTTAAACTAAAAACATGCTTAAAACAGTAGTACTCTTGCAATATTTTGTTTATTTAACAGTGTCTGATAACTGACACCTCTTGCTCTGAATTACTGCATCAAAATGTCTGTGCTATTGCAATCTTGAGTGTGCTGTTCAGGTGTGTATCTGTAAGCTGCAAACCTACGAGGACGCAGCAGCAGCAGAACTGGAAGAAGCAGGAGACAGCCAGTTCCACTGTGGGCCTGATAGAAGCCCTCCGGGGGCCTGATCCGGCCCCTGGGCCGCATGTTTGACACCCCTGGATTAAGGGGATGGAACACCTTCCCTATGGAAAAGGGTTAAAGAAGTTAGGGCTCTTTAGCTTGGAGAAACGACGACTGAGGGGTGACATGATAGAGGTTTACAGGATTATGCATGGGATAGATGTAAGTCCTTTTCTCCCTTTCTCACAATACAGGAACTCATGGGCACGCAATGAAATTAATGAGTAGTAGGGTCCATGGGGTCGCGAAGAGTCGGACTCGACTGTGCGACTGAACAACAACAACAAAGGGTTAGAACAGATAAAAGGAAGTACTTCTTCACTGAAAGCATAATTAACGAGTGGAATTCACTGCCACAGGAAGTGGTGTAGGGCTGCCAAGTGGGGGCGGGGGGCGGGTAAACCCCCGCTTCGGAGGCCCGATTTCCGCCGCCATGGAATCGTGCCCCAGGGGGAACTTCGTCCCCCCCAAAGCGCAGCATGGCTGCGTCACCAGAGGTGACGCAACCACGTCAATCACGTTGGGGGCGTGGCCCCGATCGTCGGAGGGAAAACTCTATGGTTTTCCCTCCGACAATCGGGGCCACGCCCTCAACATGATCAACGTCGCGCATCACTTCCGGTTATGTGCTGGTGGCGTGTGCGCGCACACATCAACAAAGAGCTCCTGGAGACTGGCGAGGCTCCCCCGCCGGTAAGAGAAAACGACTTGGCAACCCTAAAGTGGTGGCAGCTACAAGCACAGACAACTTCAAGGGGGCACTGGATAAACATATGGAGCAGAGGTCCATCAGTGGCTATTAGCCACAAAGTATAGATGAAACACTCTGTCTGGGGCAGTGATGCTCTGTATTCTTGGGGCTTGGGGGGCACCAGTGGGAGGGCTTCTAGAGTTCTGGCCCCGCTGGTGGGCTTCCTGATGGCACCTGGATTTTGGCCACTGTGGGACACCGAGTGTTGGACTGGAAGTGCCTCTGGCCTGATCCAACATGGCTTCTCTTATGTTCTTATGTTCTAGGTGGCTGCCTTAGCATTAGACTCAGGCAGTGCGGAGATCTCATCAGACATTTCGCTTTGCTACTCCATGATGCCTGCCCAAATTTCCGCCGTTACATTTGGTTAGTCTTGAAAAAGGAGAAAGAGCAAGCAATACATACTAAAGCTGTTAAAAGTGGGTGCAATACTACAGCTTTGGGGGCAAATTTGGTCTGAACAGGTTGATGGTCTGGTATATATTGGCAAGAGTTGTGTGGCTCAATAGCAAAGTCAAGTCAAGTAGTATTTCTTGTAGGAGGCCAATGGCTGTTATCATTAAAACTCACACAAAAGAAACGTAAAACCCAAAGTAATGATGAAGAGTAGATCAAAACAAGGTTAAAAACAACCTTATAAAAATGTACATAACTGAATAAAATACTTCAGCCTGCAAGGACAGCTCTGGCTAATCTGCTGTTCAACGTCTGCCTATATGTATGGACTGCTAACTTCCATTTCAATGTATCAAGCTCATGCCTTGAATATAACTTTGAATGGTCTTAAAGGTGCCACTGGACTCAAGGTTTGTGTCACTCTATTGGAGACAAACTGATCAAAATCCGAGAGAAGAAGTTTTCATTATCTAATAGATTTTGTGCACAAAGGGAAGATATTAGAGAAAGTAAAAATTGAAAGCAAACTTCGCAAGCAGATACCGTGGTTTAGGTATTTGCAACTCAAAAATATGTTACAAAATCTCATGAATAAACAGGTTTTCTCAGCTCCACTGACAGAATTTAAGATGATTTTGAAATGTCAGAATAGAGAATCAGAAGGCCTCATCTCAAAACTATACAAACTTTTATGCAGCACAAAAAATACAAACTAGTTGAGAAGCAAGCATATTCCAAAGAAACCTGGCAAACACTTTGGTCTTTTCCAAACAATATCTCCCCGGTTTTTAATATCAGATTCAACATGTTTAAAGTCTTTCACAGATGGTATTTAACCCCAGCCAGACTTCATAAACTAAACCCAGCAATCCCTTCTACGTGCTGGAAACAATGTGGGCAGTTGGGTGATTTCGCTCATTGCTGGTGGCACTGTCCGAGTATTCAATACTTCTGGAAACAGATTTTGATGCAAATTAGATATATCATTGGTATTCATTTACCTGCTACATTAGAATCTGTAGTTTTGGAATTGGGTCTGATAAATCTTGAAAAGAAGAGTCTACAGATACAAACGGCGATTTTAATTGCAGGAGCTAGGATTTCGATTGCACAATTCTGGAAAAAGAAGGAAGCACCAACGCTATATTTTTGGCAAAATAAACTTTGGGAATATTTCGTATACAGTAAAATTTCAAAGAATGTTTCTGGGGGAAACCTAACACATAAACAAAACTTATTTCAAGCGGTTTAATTCTCAATTTTGGAATATTTGTCAAACAGTGGTGTAGTACCAAAAAATTCTTTTTATGCATCATTGCTATACTTCTAAATCTTGACTATTGTAAAATTTGACTGTTTAAGATATTTTTTTATATTGATGGTTACCGAAAATAAGTGTTTTTGATGTGTATTACGCAAGTTATATTGCTATTGTTAATGTTTTTTATCTTTGTTTGTTTGAAAATAAAAACTTTAAATTAATTTTTTTAAAAAATCTTGTTGGACATTTGTATTGTTGCCAGGGCTTTTTGGCGAATGCAATAAAGATTGATCAACTGATTGATCGATTGATCTAAGCCCTTCCAAATCTCACTGAGAAATTTGCTTCTAGGCTCCGTATAAAGAGGGCAGAACAGAATATTATGTGGAAGGTGTTCGGGAAGGGGTAATAGTGTGTAGTATAGCCAGGAGATCCTAGGATTGTCTGGCAGCCACAAGCTGTAGCTCTTTTGTGGCAAGCTACGCTTACAATGGGCTGAGAGAGCTCTGAGAGAACTGTGACTACTGACCCAGGGTCACGCAGCTGGCTTCAAGTGAAGGAGTGGGGAATCGAACCCGGTTCTCCAGATTAGAGTCCACGGCTCTTAACCACTACACCAAACTGGCTCTCATTTGGGGAGGGGGTAAAGCTATTGCTTCACATGCAGACAGTCCCAGATTTGATCCTGGATATCTCCAGTTCCTAAGAGCTCAGGGGGCAGGGGCGTTTAGGTCCAGTAAAGCTCCTTCTAGGTGCAGTAAACAATTGCAGTTTCAGCAGCATAATAATTAGGGGTCTGATTGCTCTTTGGTTCTTGATTCACACTGACCTCTCTTTGCAAGGTCTCCCCACCCACTCTCTGCTTTTAGCTGCTTGTAACTTCAAGCAGGAGTGTCTCTCCTATGGATATATGCTCCAGCACATCTGATGAAGTGAGTTTTGACTCATCAGATTTTATGATGGCATAAATGTTGTTAGTCTTTCAGGTGCCCCTGGACTTCTGCTGAATCCCTACAGATTGTGCTTCATGTTGATTCATGCAGGGCGGGAGAGGAACATGCATGCGCCACAGGCATTCTTTGCCTCTCTTTAGCACAGTGTATTTTTGGTCCGGCTGCCCTGAAGCTCTTTGCAAATATAACCCAATTGCAATACATACTTTAAAAAACAACATTGTCTTTGATGATGCCGCTGCTGGCGCTCCGGTACTCTCCGCTGGCCAAAGGGTGGCGCTGGTGGCACCTTGATCTGTCAAAGAAGGCCATATTACAGATAATAGGATTTAGAGGGGAGGGGGGGGGAGAAGAGCTATTCCTCTTTCTTTGGGGTCCCTGCTCGCTCGCTCCCAACGACAACAACATCGCTCCTACCCTTTAGATGCCAGATCCGTTGCCCTGGATGAAGAGAAAGGAAAGGGGGGAGAAGAGAGAAAAAACCTAGCAATATTTCCTTTTCTCCCCCCCCCCCCTTCTGGGGTGGAGAAAGGAAGCAGAGAGAGGCAGCTGGATCCTGAAGCCGAGACTTTGCAAAAGCGTGGAGCCATGATGAGCGCCGCTGCGCGCAGCCGGGCCGACGTTGTGTGCGTGAGCTTGCTCCGGGCGTGTGTGTGAGAGCGCGAGTGTGTGAGTGTGAGTGTGTGTGTCGGGGCGTGCGTGCACAGGGACTGGCAACTGCGTCCGCTGCTCCTCCAGGCCGGCGATGCCGCCACTCGCGTTTCTGCACAGCCGACGGTGGCGTTTCCCTCGCGGGGCCGAGCGCCGGAGCCCCCTCCTCGGCTCCCCATCCTGGGGGGGGGGCGGATCGTGTCGAAAGGCGGCGCGGGAGGCCAGCAGAAGCCGGAGAGTAGGAGAACAAGAGGCGGGGAGGCGGGTGCGTGGATGCGTGTTTGGAAACAGCGGCGGCGGCGGCGACAACAAGCGCCGGAGGAGGAGGAGGGGGGCGGCGGCGGCGGCAGTGGTGGTGGTGGTGGAGGACCCGCACAGAAGAAACTTATGGAAGAATGAAGGAGATGGTGGGCGGCTGCTGCGTTTGTTCCGACGAGCGGGGCTGGACCGAGAACCCCCTGGTGTACTGCGACGGGCATGGCTGTAACGTGGCGGTGCATCAAGGTAAGGACCCCCCCCCTTTCCTTCCTTCCTCCCTACAACCCCCCCTCCCCTCCCCATCTTTCCCATCTCTTGTTTGCATCCTAACTCTTGGGGTTTTGCCAGGTTTGCAAGGGGGGGGGAGGAGGGGTTCCCTCTCTCTCGCCTCCCCAACTACCTTTGCAAAGCTTTAAGCAAAAAAAGTGGGGGGAAGGAGTATTATTGTTATTATCATTTCTTCTGAATGGGGCCTTATTGGGGGGTTGCAGAAGCAAGGGTTTGCAGAGGGCTTGGGAAAGAAAGGGGCTGTTCTGGTTGCGTGTGCGTGTCAAACGCACGCACCCTGACCCACAGATCTAGGGTTAACGTGATCCCAGGCCCCGTGCCAACAATTTGCAAAAGGAGAATTGACACCTCTCGGTATCCCCATCGAGATGTCTGTAGAGGGATGACAGCTAGAAACGCACCTGGAGCTAGAGAGATCTCCAGCGGGCTTCCATATGTGTGAGTGGTTAGGAGACCCATCTTTGCACACATCTATAGCAGGAAGATGGGCTTTTAAAAAAAAGGGGGGGGGAAGCCCCAACTTTGCATGTGCAACGCTGGGGACCTTAGATCTCCTTGCTGCGTCCCTCTGCCTGGGCACATAATGCTTTGTGCTTCTGTTTATTTGTTATTGAAATTGTGGCAGCCTAGGAAACTGATGGGGGGGTGACATTTGAGAGGCAGCGGAAAGGGTACAGGGGGGTGGGTGCTGGGGGGGGGACATCCCCCCGCCTGTTCCTCCTTTGCATTTTATTTTATTTGACGTCGTCGTTGCTCGAAAGGAATCGTATGGCAGTGTGACCTCTGACAGTCTCCCTCAGCTTCCTTCCGGATTAGCAGGGGATCTATTATTAGCTCCCATGTAACATGGTGGTTTTTGTTTTGCTTTTTTTTTACGTTGGGGATGGAGGTGGGAAAGGGGGTGGGCTTTAGTCCTCAGCGGCAAGGTGAGGCGGGAGAGGAGGATTCGGAGAGATGGACCCACGCATCACCTTTCCGGCAAGGAAAGAGAGCAGGTCTGATCTTCTTAGTAGATCATTAACGCTGTAAACAGAAGGGCCAGGAGGAGTCACCTGGGGTGAACCATGCCCCGGAGACCTAGGGTTCTTAATATCCTTGCACACCCGGCATAACCCTTTCCAACAGTTACCGAAAGGGGAATGGCCAGACCTCAGGTTTCCATGCCTTCCGTTCTCTATCTGGGCTCTTACCTCTCCAACTGACTGAGGCTACTCTCTACGGGGGGGGGAGAGATACTCTGCCCATGCTCAGAGGTGATCTTTTCACCTGCAAACCCATATGTTTGAGGTCTGATAGATGTGTGTTTTCTTCAGTGCACAGAGTTTGTGTTGTTGTTTTTTAATTTCACACCGGTGTGCTTTGGCGTGTGATGATTCCTGTATGGCTGGGTTTGGCTGCCAGGGAATTTGAATGACACAGATGGGTACAGTGGCCAAAAGGGGCTTTATTAGAACGTAAGAAGGAACTCTGCTGGATCAGACCACTAGCAACCTGTTCCCCATAGTGGCCGACCAGTTGCCTTGGAGAGCCAACCACTAGGGCATCAAGGTCTTCTTCTGATGTTGCCTCCTTGTACTGGAATTCAAAGGTTTACTGCTTCTGAAAGTGGAGGTTCTTTTTAGTCACCATGACCCGTAGCCATGAATCCATCTAACCATCTTTTAAATGCATCTGTGCTTGCGGCTATCACTGTGCCTACTAGCAATGAATCCCCCAATTTAATCTGTCATGGATTAAAGAATTTCCTTTTGTCTGTCCTGAATCTGTGGCCCATCACCTTCATCAGGTGCCTCTGAGTCATACTGTCATGGGAGAAGGAGAAAAAATTATATCTGTCCACTTTCTCCATGCCATTCACCATTTTCTAAATCTCCTTCGTGTTCCCCCTTCCGTTGTCTTCTTTCTCACCTGAAAAGTCCCAGACTCTTTACCCTTTACTTCTAGGAAAGGTGTTCCAATCTGTCTTTAATCTACATTATATTTCCTAATTTCTTCTGCGTAGACTAATAAATCCTAGGCTGTGATATGACACATTCTCGGACTGGATCCCGAAATCTAAGAATGGGTTTCTGAGCTAAGTCTTGGTGAGATGCAGTTGAAATTATCCCACTTGGGAGTGCCTGAAACAGCAATCCATTTTAAGAAACTGCATGCATAGAAGCAAATGAGGAAGATACTTTGCAGAAGAGGAACAGATGATGAGTGACGGGGGGGGGGGGGACCCCCAGGGAAGTTTGTGGCAGGACGGAGGACCTGGCAAGGTCACTGGGGACTAAATGAAATTGCATCAGAAAATAAATCTGGCCTGTCAGCCACTAAGTAGCCATCCTTGGACTAGGGGGTGCATCTGTCGTTGCTTCAAAGAGCACCTGAGGGCTCCTCTGACGGTGCCATTGAAAGGGGTCCTCAAGACAGTGCATTCCTCAGTTTTCCATGCGCAGAGACACATGACATAGAGCAGTGGTTCCTGGAGTGTGGCTCATGCCCCGAAAGAGCCAGTTTGATGTAGTGGTTAAGTACGCGGACTCTAATCTGGGAGAACTGTGTTTGATTCCCCACTCCTCCACTTGCACCTGGCTGGATGGCCTCGGGCAAGCCGTAGTTCTGATCAGAGCTGTTCTTGAAAAAGAGCAGTTTCTGTGAAGAGCTCTCTCAGCCCCACCTACCTCACAGGGTGTCTGTTGTGGGGAGGGAAAGGGATGGGAGTTTGTAAACCGCTCTGAGACACCTTTGGGTAGTATAGGGCGGGGTATAAATCCAATCTCCTCCTCCTCATCATCTTCTTCTCCTCCTCCTCCTCCTCCTCTTTTGGGAAACACTGCTCCTGGCCTTGGGAGCAACAGCGAATGGACTGGAAGCGGGCAGAGACAATCCCCTTGGCTGCTGTCCCCTCCGAGGCTTTTCCTTTGCTCTGGCTTAACAGGGAAAGCCCTAGGATGCCCCATGTGTTGTGGTCAGAAAGACCATGATGTGGTATGGAAGCTCTCCCCCAAAAGCTGAGGAATACTAGCTTTTGCCCATGGAACAGTCCATGTACGGAAGCAGGCCGAGATGTCTAGAATGTAGCCTGCTTGCCTTCCTGGACTTTTACAGTCTCCTGCCTTGGTTTGGCTCAGCATCTAACAGAATACCACTAGTCAGTGTTCCCTCTAAGCTGAGTTAGTCTGCGTTAGCTCACAGTTTTTAAGCCTCCGGCTCACACATTTTTGTCTTCGCTCAGGAAGGATGGCTCCGGAACAAACTAATTGATGCAGTAGCCAAATCACTCGCTCACAACTTTAATGCCAGTAGCTCACAAAGTAGGATTTTTGCTCACGAGACTCCACAGCTTAGAGGGAGCGTTGCCACCAGTACTAATACTTGGTTCCATCATTACTGATCCTTCTGTCCTTCAGATCCATGGGGTGATAGGGATTTAGCTCTCCGTGTTATTTTAGCAGATCCTTGTGAAAAGGAGGGAAATGGTGCACACGTTGATGTCAGGATGTAAAATATGGATAGCCTGAGGTGTCATTTTTCGTTTTAATCTGGTTTCTTTCTTGTGATGGGTTCTAGTGCTATACATGATAAACTGGAAATATTTCCCAGATTAAGACGGGTGCCTTCCCCCCCCCTTATGGTGTCCCTTTCATAACCAGGGTGGTGTAGTGGTTAGAGCATAAGACCTACGAAACCTTGGTTCAAATCCCTACGCAGCCACAGGAAGCATGCTGGGTGACCTTGGGCCAATCACATACTCTTGGCCTAGAACATAAGAGAAGCCAATGTTGGATCAGGCCAATGGCCCATCCAGTCCAACACTCTCACACAGTGGCCAAAAATACCAGGTGCCATCAGGAGGTCCAGCAGTGGGGCCAGGACACTAGAAGCCCTCCCACTGTTGTCCCCCCCCAAGCACCAAGAATACAAAGCATCACTTGCCCCAGACCGAGAGTTCCTATCTATACCTTGTGGCTAATAGCTACTGATAGACCTCTGCTTCAGATGGCCTAACCTACTTTACAGGACTGTTGTGATGATAAAATCAAGAATGGTGTTGGCTGTTTTGTGTCCCTATTGTGAGAAAAGGCAGAGTATAAATGAAGCGAATAAGTAAATAAATACATTTGTGGTGATATTACAATGCTAATTTGCTTTTGTAAACCTCAGGTTTTTTTATTTAGATGAGGAAGAAGGGTTGGTTTTTATACCCTGCTTTTCTCTAACTTAAGGAGCCTCAATTCACCTTCCTTTCCTCACCCCATAACAGGCACCTTGTGAGGCAGGTGGGGCTGAGAGAGCTCTGAGGGAACTGTGACTGACTCAAGGTCACCCAGCAGGCTCCATGTGGAGAAAGAGGAGTAGGTTTTTATACCCCATTTTCCTCTACCTTAAGGAGTGTCAAAGCAGCTTTCAATCACTTTCCCTTCCTCTCCCCACAGCAGGCACCTTGTGAGGCAGGTGGGGCTGAAACAGTTCTGAGGGAACTGTGACTGGCCCAAAGGTCACCCAGCAGGCTCCATGTGGAAAAAGAGGAGTAGGTTTTTATACCCCATTTTCCTCTACCTTAAGGAGTGTCAAAACAGCTTTCAATCACTTTCCCTTCCTCTCCCCACAACAGGCACTTTGTGAGGCAGGTGGGGCTGAGAGAGTTCTGAGGGAACTGTGACCCAGCAGGCTTCATGTGGAGGAGGTGTGGGGACTCAAACCCAGTTCTCCAGATTAGAATCCACCACTCTTAACCACTACACCACACTGGCTCTGTTTAGACATTTATACCCCCCACTTTTCTACACAGTGGCTACCCAAAATGGCTTATAACAATTTTCTTCTCTTCAATTTTATCCTCACATCAACCACCTGTGAGGCAGATTAGGTTGAGAGAGAGTGTGAAAGGCTCAAAGTCACCCAGCGAGCTTCTGTGGCAAAGTAGGAATTTGAACCTGGGTGTCCCCAATTCTAGTGCTCTAACCACTACA